GAGGAGGAGGAGGAGGAGGAGGAGGAGGAGGAGGAGGAGGAGGAGGAGGAGGAGGAGGAGGAGGAGGAGGAGGAGGCCTGCGCAGCCCCCGCGCGGCCGAGGGCTGGAAAGGAGGCGGAGGGCGAGGAGGAAGAGGAGGCCTCCTCTGGTCGACCCACAAGGGGGTCCAGCTGAAAGGGGGTGGTGCAATAGGTGCTGGGCAATTGCAGTGCGAGTAGACTGCGCCAGAGAATGGCACTGCCCTGCATTGCAGCTTGCGCATGGCACGCGAAAGCCCACAAGCTGGCCATCGCTCGGACGTCCATTTCCTGTGTTTTTGTTTCGGTTTCGTGCGTGTTTTTTTCGCCAAATGATCAAGGATGCTCCTCGATGGTCCTCGCCGACGGAAAAATGCACACGTCCGAGCGATGCCAAGCAAGGGGGTCCAGCTGAAAGGGGGTGGTGCAATAGGTTGTGGGCAAGTGTATTGCGAGTAGACTGCGCCAGAGAATGGTCATGCGCTGCATTGCAGCTTGCGCATGGCACGCGAAAACCAGTAACACGTTGGCGCCCCGGAGTGCATGGCAGGCCCCAGGTGCCTTGCAGCCCCACAAATCTACGGCCAAACGTATTGCACCACCCCCTTGTCTAAAGGGACCCAGGGACACACAAATAAATACACACAAATAGCATGATTCCCCATCCCCCCCACTTCCCATATTTTCCTATATCTTCCTGGGAATCGACGATTAAATGTGTCTGTGTTGTTTCCCCTCCTGATTGTCGCTGGACCCCCTTTTGGATCAACCCGAGTTTCCTTGTCCCCGCTCCACACGATCCCTCCAGCCTTAAGTCGGGCGTGTCCCCCTACAGGGGGATTTTCGACGAAAAATAAGACATACCCCAAACATAGTCAAAAAAATGGTCCAAAAATGGTCTGGGGACTCTACTTTTTGGGTATCGTTTGACCGTTTTGGGGGGCATGTTTGGGGTATATACATATATATATATACACACACACATATATATATATATATAGATTCCGTCGAAGATCCCCGTGTAGGGGGACAGACCCGAGTTAACTCCAGCCACCCCCCCTCCAGGCTGGCGCCGCTGAAGGCCGACCGCCTCCGCGCGAGGGGCCACGCGAGGGGCGGGGGAGCGGCTCCCTCGGGGGGGGGGGCCTGGCGTCGGCGGCGCGGCGCCGAGAGGTGGGCCGTGGGCCGCCAACAGAAAAAAAAACAAAAAAAAAACAAAAAAAAAAAAAAAAAAAAAAAAAAAAAAAAAAAAACGCTCCTAAGCGGGGAGGGCTACTCCGAAGGGGCCCCAGGGGCACACAAACAAATACACACAAATCAAAAGATCCCCCACATTTTCCTATATTTTTGGGGGTGTTCGTCTTCCCCCCCACTTCCCATGTTTTCCCATATTTTCTGGGGAATCCACGATTACTTGTGTCTGTGTGTTTTTTCCCTCCTGATACTCATCAGGCCCCCGTCGGTGACCTATGGGCGACTGGGGGTCCATGCATTCCCCCCCTCCCCCCGAGCCCATCCCCCCCTTGCGCTGCCCCTGACCGTGCCCTCGCGGATCGACATCCGGATAACACCGCTGCAATCAGTGCAAAACAATCGCAGGAGGAGCGACGGGGAGCCCTCTGCTCCCCCCCACCTACACAACCGCGTTCCACGACTCGCAAAGTACCTGCTCGCAAATGGCCCTGGATCCGAAGCGGGTGATTTACGATCCACTGCATACGGGAAGACTATGTTTGCTTCGGAGGTGTGCGAATAGGCACTGCGAGCGGCGGAACGCGCTCGGTGACCACCTTCCCTCTTTACAGGCCAAAGAATCCACCCCCAAAACAACCACCCCGACACGCGAATTCGTTTCCTAAACGCCCCCACTGAAGGAATCGAAAAGGGCAGGGCTGTGTACTAAACGCCCAAGGTCGTTGAGTAAACGCCAATTGCCCGGTCCGGGTGGTGTTTCCTCCCTTCCCTCTTCATCGATCGGGATCGAGGGTCGATTTTCGGACACAGTCGGCCCTGCTGGGCCTCCAGGAACATCCAGGGGGACTCTGGAGGCGTCAGAGGCCTCCGGGTAGCTCCGAGGGTCCTCTGGGAACCCGTGGAGCTCTCCGCGGCCTCCAGAGAAAGTGCTTGCATTATCGAGGGATGCTTCCAAAGCTCTTGCAGGCTTCCTCCAAGGGAGATTTTCAGTGAGCAGCTTCGCGCGCACGCGACTCTTCTCGTGCCCGCGGCTGCTTCCAGCCAGTCCTCAGGAGCGCCCTGCTGGCGCGCTAGCTGAAACACTGGGGGTAAGGAGCATGCCAAAAAGCCACCCGAACTCCATAGAACTCCGTGCCCAGTGGCCTCCCTCCCCCCAGAGCTGGTGGCACTCCGTTCTGGGCGCTCGCCCAGAACGGGGTGCCACCAGCTCAAAAGACGGAGCGGCGAGCCCCACTAGCTGGCGGTGATGGTCTTGTCTGCTCTGGTGCGGGATGTAATTCGTCCCAGGATCGATGGGCAAACGTTCGGCTGTTTCCTCGGGCCATTTATCCAGCGCTTCGCCTTGTTCGGTGCGCGGGACCCCGGACCTCTGGCCGATGGCGACGACGACGACGACGACGACGACAACGACGACGGATCGTCATCGTCGACCTCTTACCCAAGACCGACATTTCATCCCGAACCGTGCTTTGTACCGCTCCGAGGCCCGAAACGGGCCACAGGAAGCAGCAAGCGACGACGAAAAAACTGGCCGCCTCGGTTCTTGCTCGGGGCGCTGGACGTCTGGGGGCGTCGCCTGCAGGCCCTCCCATGCCCCAGCTCGTGGGGCGACGAGAGATCTATACAGTCTGCCAGCGCTGGCCATGCACGTCCTGTGCCCTGTGGCATCCCCGGGGACCTCGCCTGTCCAGTCGCGGCCCTATCCGCGTCGGATCCGTGTCGAACCCGTGTCGGACTCGTCGGATCCGTGTCGGAATTGGCGTCGAATCCGCGCCGACACCGCGCCAAATCTGCGTCGAGCCCGCATCGGGCCCGCGTCGGGCACAAGAGAAGACGCCCATTTTGTCGGACCGGCGAGGCCCCCCCGGAGATGCAGCGCGACCCGCGCCCGGGAGTGGAGCACGCGCCTCCCTGGTTGGGCCAGAGAGGCACATGCGCACCGCTCCCGTGCCCAGGATGGGCCTGGCCAGCGGCGCGAGGGAGACGTGCCAAGGGGGCCCAGGGACACACAAAATAAAGAGGCACGAATCCCAGGATCCCCCATAGATCTTCCCGTATTTTCTGGGTGCTCGTCGCCCCCCCAACTTCCCATATAATCTGCCCCATACTTTCCTCGGAGCTGCCGATTCCTGTTGTCTGCGTGTGTTTTTCCCGAATCAGTGCTTGCACTGCAGAGTCCTAGCGGAAATTGAAAGGTTTGGCGAAAATGTCCCGCCGATCTTGGTGGCCGGCTGGGTTCCCAGGTTCCCGGTTCAGGGTTCCCAGGTTCCTGGTTACTGGTTCCGGGCCGATTTCGGTGGGCTCCAGGATCCTGGGTTCCCGGTCGATCTCCTTATCGATCAAACCATCCCCTGATTGGGTTTTTTTCTCTAGTGTTATGTCGGGCCTGTCCCCCTACAGTGGGATTTTCGACGCAAAATAATAATATTTTAAAAAAAAAAAAAAAAACAAAAAAAAAATGCCCCAAAGAGGCCAAAAAATAGTCAAAAAATAATCCCCAGACTATTTTTGGACTATCTTTTGACCATTTTTGGGGTACGTATCTTTTACTTTTCGTCGAAAATCCCCCTGTATGGGGGACAGGCCCACATTCCTCTAGTGTCTTTTTTGGTTGTCTCTTCCCCGCTTGAATGATCTAGTGTTTTTGGTTGTTGTTTCTTCCCCTCTTGAATGATCTGGTGTTTTTTCTCTAGTGTGTTTTTTCTCTCGTGATTTTTTGGTTGTCTCTTCCCCTCTTGGATGATCTCCTCGCCCCCGGGCGCGCTCCCACGGCAGCGGGAGGACCCCGTATCAAGGGAGCCGCCGCGGCACAGCGCCTCCTGGGGCGCACCAAAGGGCAAGCTGCCGCCGCGGGGCGACGGATTCTGCGGTCCGTCTCCCCGCGCGGTGACCAAAAAACCCTGGTGACAGGAGGACGTGGAGGAGAGGAGGAGGAGGAGGAGGGGGAGGAGAAGGAGGAGGACAAGGAGGAGGGGGAAGGGGAGGAGGAGGAGGAAGAGGAGGAGGACGACGACGAGAGGAAGAGGAGGAGGAGGAGGAGGAGGAGGAGGAGGAGGAGGACAAGGAGGAGGGGAGGGAGGAGGAGGAGGAGGAGGAGGAGGAGGAGGACGAGAGGAAGTGCAACGTCAGGGACCTCCAGAGGCCTCTGGGGTGGGCCGAAAACCTCCGATTACTCCCAGGCGCCGCCCCAACGACCTCTGCAGACCGACGCCGCTCCACTCGTCCTCCCTTCTCGCATCATGAGCCCCGCCCCTTCCCCTGGGCATCGCTTAACCGACCCCAATCCCCATGAACGTGGCCTGGGCCCCGATGGCCAATTGACCCCCTAGATGGGGATATAGGCCGTCCCCTTCGGGTTTCGAGGTGTGTGTGTGTGTGTATGTGTGTGCCCCCGACTGGGGTGCAAGGGTGCGGGGGGTCTGGACGGGGATGGGGATGGGGATCGGTTAAACGATACCGATCCCCGCCAGCAGGTCTTGTTGTCGGTGCACTCGACCTCGCCGGCTCCCCATGCACGGGGAGGGGCACCGCGGGTGATGCCGGAAACGAGAGGACTCGAGACTCCGATCACGAAAGGATGGCTCACGAGCTGGCCATCGCTCGGACGTCCATTCACTGTGTTTTTTTCGGTTTCGTGCGTGGTTTTTTCGCCAAATGATCGAGGATGCTCCTCGATGGCCCTCGCGGAGAAAAAATGCACACGTCCGAGCGATGCCAGGCGAGGTGGGGGGGGGGGAGGGGAGGGAACAGAGAACGGAGCGGAGCTGGAGAGCCTCGAGGCCGCACGCACACGCGGGCCACGAGCAGCGTGCGGAGGGTGCGGAGGCCCCGCGAGGGCCACAGAGGCGCGCAGGAGGGGCCCCCGCGCCCGCGCACGCAGGGGAGCCGAGCGCCGGAGAGCCAGCGGCCGCACGTGCGCGCGGCTCCCGCCGCTCTGCCCGCCGGAGCACGCGCGCTCGGACCACCCCGGCAGTGGCAGCGGCGCCGCGGGCGCCCGCGGCCACGCCGCGGCTCGGGAGAGGTGGGCGGGCCCTCCTCCTCGCGGGGGCGCGCAGGCATGGGCTGGCGATCCGTGGA